AACAGGAAGACAAGAAATGAAAGAAACAGCATTAGAAAGAGCAATGAGGTATGAAAACAAAATAAGAGAAGAATGAGATGGCTCAATAAAAAAAGAAGCATGGAGAGAACTAAAGAAAAGGGAAAGAAATGAAAATGATAAAAAGGGTAAGAAGGAGGAGAGAGAGGAAAGGCTAGAAAAAAGTAAAATATATAGAGAGAGGGAAGAGGGAGATGAAATGAGGGAAGAGTTTTGGGAAGAAATAAGAGATGAGCTAAAGAAAAAAGAAGAAAAAGAACTAGAAGAAAAACTAGAAAAATCAAGATACATAAGCAGGTATTGGGAAAAAAAAGAAAGTAAGAGATGCAGAATGTGTATGAAAGAGCAAGAAAATTGGAAACACATAGTAGAAAAATGTGAAAAAAAAACAGAAAGGAAGCGAAAGAATGGGAAAAAATAATAATAGGAAGCAAAGAAAAGATAGCGTGGATGATGGAGATAAAATGGAAAAGAAGAAGAAACGAAGAGAAGAAAGAAAAAGAAAAACAAGAGGACGAAACTGCAAGACCCTAAGGAGAGACGGAAACAGAAGACAGAGAAGCACGACTTGCAGACACATCTACATACCCACACATACACACAAAACACGCACACACGCGCAAACATAAACATACACATGCACACACACACACACACACACAAAACACAAGTACTAGCAACTACACAAGCGAGAGGAAGCAGGTATTGGAGGATGAAGCAAAATGGAAAAGAAGAAAAATCGAAGAAGAGAAAGAAAAAGGTAAATTAGAAGACAAATTATAAGATACTAAGGAAAAATAAGTGAGGTTGAGGAAAGGAAAGGCAGAGGGAGCAATAGGAAATAAGAAAAAGGTGTCAAAGCCCTAATAAGGAGAAAGATAGATGAAATGATTATCAAGAATGAGAGCAAAAGCAAAGGAAAGGCAAAAGTGAAAAGGCAAAAGAAAGTAACAAAGGAAAAAGTTGAAAAGAAAATATGCAAGAAAGAGAAAAACAGAAGAGCGGAAAAGGCAGATCTTGGAGAGAGAGAGAGAGAGGAAGAGAAGATTAATCAACAGAAAAATGGAAAGAAAAGCTGAACAGACAGAAGCAGAAGACGGGAACGCAAGAGTCGCAGACACACCTACATACGTACACATATACACAAAACACATACACACACACACAACACATACATTATCAATTACATAAACTGGATACGAGACACAATTGTAATATAAGAAATGAAAACCAAATGTAACATATAAGTTGTAAATAAATAAACTAATATATAGCATTTTAAACAAGTTTTTTAAACAATTTATGTAAGTTGGGTAGCCTTAAAATTTATTTTCAAAATATTCAAATAAATAAAAAAATACGTCGGTGCATTTTTAAAGCTTGGTAGAACATGAAAAGTTCCATAGCACCTATTCTACTATTGATACTTAAAATTAAAGAAATACGTACCTTCTTAAATTACTTGATTAAACTATTTTTTTAATTCATTACTTATTATTTATTTAATTAGTTAAAGTTACATTATTACTACTAATTAATTTATCTTATTTAAGAATTGTAGATAATTTTTTATCAATATTTGATTCCTCGTCAAAATATAATTTGTCATAGCAAACTAATGTTAATTAATTTACTTATTATAGGCTATTGATCCAATATCACAAGATAATGACGACTATTTCGACGATAGTAGTGACGAGGAAGAAGATTTCAATAATTTGTTAGTTGATAATGAGATCGTGGAAAATAGATATACAAAATTAAATGAAATCATACATGATGAAGAATATAACGAGCCTCTTAATTTACAGACGAGTAGTTTAGTACGACAGACGAGTAGTGTTAGTAAACTAGAAATAATTCTAGCTATAATGAAATATTGCAAAACTTATCCAACCGTAGGAATAGTAGATATGTAAGGACAGCGAACGATATTTTGTGAAGTGTGCGATGATAACGTAAACTTGAAAGACCCTTCTTATACTAATTATTTTGGGACAATCAACGTAATAAGTGAAATACGAAATCTTGTCGAAGCGAATGAAGACTTCTATATTGATATGGTTTCTTGATGAAATAAAGAACACACTGTTGGTTTTCAAGATATTTATGATGGTCAAAAATACAAACAATTTGTGTCATCATTACCAGACGATTGCAAAGTGTCTTATTTAACTGTTACGTTCAATAGTGATGGAAGTCCAACTTTTAAAAGTTCCAAATATTCGGTATGACCAATACAAATGGTTGTGAATGAAATTCCACTAAATATTCGTTCTAAAAAGACCATTACTTGTGCGCTGTGATTTGGTCGTGATAAACCAAACATGACATATTTTCTGCGCCTCTTTGTCGACCATATAAATGAATTGTCTGAAAATAAAACAAGATACCAGCTGCAAAATGAAACAAGGAATTTGTATTTGTATGGATTGTGCTGCTGCGTGGATACTGTCACGCGTGCATCTGTGCAAGGCACTGTTGAGTTTAATGGCTATTTTGGGTGTAGCTGGTGTTTGCATCCAGATATGCGAGTTCGCCATAATACTGGTTATTCTATGATGTATCCTATACTGAATGAATATCCTGCAAGACGAACAGCAGTTGATACGTTCGACCTAATGCAAAGATCAGTTGAATCAAATGCTCCTGTTTTTGGCATGAAAAATGTATCTTCTTTGTTACTTTTGAATAATTTTAATATAATAGATGGCTTTGTTCCGTGCCCTATGCACTGCGGTGATCTAGGTGTAGGTAAACAATTTTGCAACTATTGGTTTAGTTCATCAGACGAGCCTTATTCAATTCCTAAAAGTAAAGTAGCGATCATTAATCAATATCTAAAAAATTTCAAAGTGCCTACACTATTAGTACGACTGTCACGTTCAATAAGTGATCGAGCATTTTGGAAAACAATAGAGTGGTCAAATTGGATTCTTTTTTATAGTATACCAATATTAAAATTTATATCACAAGAAATCCCAGCATTTGAAAGAATAACTGGTTTTTGATTTAATGTTAATTTGAAAAATTAATTACATGAATTACTGGTCTTTGTTAGCAGAAGCCTATCATACATTGTTGTAAACAGAAATAACTATAATTGAATTACAAAGAGCAGATTTCCTTTTAAAGAAGTTTGTTTCTAACACTCAACTCCTTTATACGGACGATGCGATGACTTATAGCGTTCATCAATTACTACACTTAACGCAAAGTGTTGCTGACTGGGGCCATTGTATGCTCACAGTGGCTACGTATTCGAATCAGGTAATGGACAAATTAAAAAAACTATTTATGCTGCCAAAAGCGTCTTGAGACAAATATGTCGTTACCTATCTTTTGAAGAAAGTATAATAAAATTACAAAAACAGGTGGAAATAAAAGATTCACTATGTACAGAATATGTCAGATATTTAGAAAATGGTTTCATAGAAAAAACTGTTAAATTCGCATACAGATATTTTGGAAGAGCAGTAACCAATGAAGGTATTATTGAAAAGTTCTAACTTCCAATAGAAAAAGTAAGAGCCTATAGAAAAATGGTCAAAAATGGATGTGTATATAAGTCATGCGAAAAGTTATTGTATAGATCAGACAATTCATATGCAATTTTGAAAAATGGTGACTACATAGAAATTCTATAGTTATCATTAATATGAAGGATGGAAAAGAGTACACCATATACAAGAAGATCGCAGTCATAAGTGATAATCATCCAATAACTGATGAATTATATCGTATAAAGCAAGTTATACAAATAAACTTGGATATTAATATTACCGAAACAAAAAATATTGACAAAACATGTGTTTATTTGAATATTGCTAGTGATAGTTACATTTCATCAGTGCCTAATATGTATTAGAAATAATATAATGAAAATCATCCATAATGCAAAAAATCCATCTGGATTCCGTTAAAAATCCACTTGGATTTTTGTAGGAATCCACCTGGAATTCGTTAAAAATCAACTTGGATTTAGCTAGGAATCCACCTGGAAATCCGTCTGGAATTCCTTAAAAAAATTACTTGGATTATGCTAGGAATCCACTTGGAATTCATTAAAAATCCACTTGGATTTTGCTAGGAATCTACCTGGAAATCCATCTGGAATTCGTTAAAAATCCACTTGGATTTTGTTAGAAATCCACCTGGAATCCACTTGGAAATCTATCATGGAATTCCACTTCCAATCCACTTGGAATCCATACGAGTCCACATAGATATCCAGCTGGATTTTTGCAATAGGGCATCATATACTTCTATTTCTATTTAATCAATTGTTAGAAAAAATTCGAATATTAAGTACAAAATTTGTACAAATTTCGTGCAATATTTGTACAAATTTCGTATATATTCTTTAAAAAATTTATTATAAACAAATAAATATACAAACAGAAATTACGAGAATATCAGCTACCGACATATATCTACAAAGTGATTTAAAATTATTTTTTTTAATTTTTTAAAATAATCAAATTTCATATTGCATCTTCAGAGCAACATATAAATAGAAAATCGCACTATAAATTCCTACGATCACCAAAATTAAAAATCGACTTGTGTTAATGTTAATAAAAAAAATTTTTAACTAATCATCGTTTTATAACGGTTCACGCTTATTTAGATTCCGTAAGAATGGGAGACCTAATGATTAACTGTAAGAATATACATTTGGTTTTAGTGATTTTTTAAAAGAAATTCCATCATTTATTCAATAAGAATAAAATAGCCAATAGAAAAATTTATATTAATAAATAGATAAACGATTTATAATATATATTGCATCTCGATATAAATAATGGTTTTATAATCTAAAAAAATAGAAGCAGTTATTAGGCATATATATACTCCAAATCATCTGATTCATCCTACAGTAATGACCGTAAAAATGCAAAATAACATATAATGAAAATAATAACTTTAAAATTATTGTAAAAGCTAGTAGTTATCGAGTAATTTTATACGTTTTTACTCACTTTTTTGTGTTTCTGAACTGCCACACTATTTCTCTATTTATCTATTTAGATAGAAGCAAATATATGTAAAATAGCAGTGCTAAATGTTTTTAGGCACAAGGTAACGAATTATTTAGAAATATTGTAAGATGAATTCTTATATCAACATTATATATTTCATTGCGTTTGCAGGCAATATATTATAATATACTGTAAAATTATGTAAATTATATTGAAGGTACTATTGAAATTTACAATAATGTTTTTTATGATAACTCTCGCCAATAAAATAAATTATAACTAGTATAAAAGGAATGTACAACTCTCTTCAATGTAAATGGAGTAGGATTCTAATATTTCTGTTACCATGATTAATTAATCACTTCAGATACATAATACCATGTGTTTAGTGAGAAAAGATAATACGATAAGAGCTACAGTTCCATCTACGTAAATTGAGGGTGTTTCTAATAATTTTAGATACATGATGCAATGAATGGATTTGATAAAGAATTTGATTGTTTCTATACATGTAGGCCAAAAATTTATTGCGTAATTATAAATTAGCGTTGTTATGTTATTCGATGAATATTTTTTTGCTGCTTTTAAAGAAAAATTGTTCGTATCAATCAAGAATCATTCACAAAAAATAAAAATTCACCTAGTATCTTGAAAAAACCATGTAACTTATCGTATATAATGATTTTACATTTTTCTTTCCATATTGAACCTATTTAGAAAATAAATTAAATTCATAATGTTTTGAGAATGTTTTGAGAACGTTTGAATCTCACTATGAGTCTTGATCATATTTTATCTCAAATTGTTTCTAAAGTATATATATTTTAATTTTTTCGTTCTAGTTCAATTCTTTTGAAAAATACATAAAATAAAATAAATAATAGTTTATCCATAAAGAAAAAACAGAAAATTCGAAATTAAGCGTTCTTGATACAAAATAATTTAAACATTTCTTCTTATCTACCGTAAACATCTTATATGTATATTCTTATACATTATTACACATAAACATGAATATAACTAATAATCTCCCCGTGGCCTCTTTCGTTTTTTCAATCTGTAGATATAATCACTAGAACAAAGAACAATAGATTATTCTGCACTACAATTACAAAAACTACCCTCCTTGAAATAGAGGATAAGATCTTAGGAATAGAGCAGAAGTCAAATCTATTTCTTGTACTAGTTCATAGATGCATAGGCAGAAGGCGTATTCGAAAATAGTACATTGATTTATTACAGCTACTTGTAACTTGCATGCAAAACTGCGGCTGATTATTATATAAGAGAAATCAATCAGTGCGTTAACATGTTCAATCTTATAATTTTTGAGCTGGTGAATAATTATTGTAAAACGTTATGTGTAAAGTTAATATGTTTGATTATCAGCACAAGCGTTTGCAACAAGATATTATATCATAAATTAAAAAAGTCAACTGTAATAAAATAATAATCAAAGTGGTTTTTTAAAATAAATAGTTCTTATGCATTTCTTACATAAGTTTCTACGTTGAAAACCCACCAATAGATCTTGCATAAGAACTTACTTAAGTTCTCATGATATTTCCGAAACCTTGCAGAAAAATTGTTCAGCAAATTTCATAAAAATCTTAGGCCATTTTTATAGAACCATTACACGAAACATATTTGAAACATTGCATAAATGATTTGTGAAATATTACAGATAATACTGAAAATGAACTACGTCTAAACATTATTTTATTCTTCAATCGTGAACTAACACACTAATCCCTCGAAGAAAAGTAGGTATTTTAGTGTCAATTTTTCTTAACACAATTATTTTTCTATAAAAGTAGGGGTCCAAGTATGGGTCTGAATTAATGAGGGACGTACCTAATAAATCTGCTGAAATCCGCCAGTATTTGTATCTGGAACTTCAAGGAACGAAACCCTACCTGATCCAACCTACATAATTTATGCAAAATAAAAATAAAAAATTGTAGTAAATAAATTTTCACTCGTTAAATTAAAATATGCCAACCGATTTATTTACCTCATTACAGTTTCCTCATAAAAAATGATTACCAATAATTACTGTTAATAATGGCACTACAAACACTACTATCTTTGTTATGAATCATTAGTTTTAATTTTAGGAAATTTAAAAAAGTTTCTAGAGCTTTTTTAATTTGTCCGATGAAAGAACATCAATAAATTTTTTCAACATGAATTTTAAATTACTTTCTTTGAATTAGTAAAGTAAAATACAAATTTTTAAATAACGAACATGGTTCCTAATGCATTATTTAATATTAGCTATCATTCAAAATATTGTATTTCTTGCAGGTATAAAAACGGGAAATATTGGAAGATCCAAATTCACAGTAAACGTACAAAAATTGCAATAAAAATATTCCTCAATTTTTTTCAAACAATCAGATTTTTAAATTTTTATTATTAATTTTGGAGCGATAATGTACTAGTATCTTGACTTTTTCCTTTTTATCAGCAGAATTTAATAATTAAAACATTTTACAATTAATATAATAATTTTCATTATTATGTTACGTCTTGGGCGTTAGCTACTTTTTAAACCTAACATTATTTAGAAAAACTGCTATTACTAACATTTAAGAAGTACCAATATGAAATCTAGTAGGCAAGACTCACTTATATTTTTCATATATATTTTATATATGGTGTAGAAGTATGAACAAAAAGAAAGCAGAGAAATAAATAAATGAGTGTTATATTACCCGTAATTTTATCACAGAGATGTCTCGTAGATCAGGTTTAAAAATGCAGAAGATAACTAGTTGGATATTTTCTTACCAAATAGTGGTTATTTAAAATTTAACAAAATTTGTTGTAGTTACCAAATACACCAAATTTACCTATAATTATGGAACGGAGGTCTGAGATGCGGATTTTAACTTAAACTCTTATGAACTACTCACTGCGGTGCTTTGTGGGCTCTTATAGCTGCCGAGTTTTATTAATTTTTCGATATCTACAGTTTTAAGTAGGTTTTGCTTGCTACATCGCAATTTACAGAGTAATAAATTTTCTGTATAGCAGTCGTATGTTGGGTCAATTTTACGTAGTTTGGCTTTATCCTCTATGAGCGACTATAGAAACGATGTCTTGGTTAGCGAGAAGGAAATATTCGTTTGTAGCGTGAATATTATGCATCTATTTAATGTATTATGTGTGTATATATGTGCATTTAAATTATAGTTTGAGGAATGGCAGCATGCTCGTGTTGTCAAATGGACTAGGAGGAATGGCTTGCCTACTCTTGCTAAGCTCAAGGCGAAAATGAGGATGTATCGGTGGATATGCATAACTAGATAATTAGTGTGTTGGTGTTGTTTGGATTGTTGAGTTATTTAATTTTGCTTTTTGTTAGTTTTAGGATTGGGTTGTCTTGAAGACCTTAAGGCGGGATGATTGCCTGTGTCGGGAGGCGTTTTATAGTACATAGGAGAGTATGGCCCTGACGAAGATACTTGGAATTTTAGAAGCTTATTCTTCTACGAGTTATAGGTATTCTGCAATGGATTTCGGTGATTGTACATGGAAATTTTTAGTGATTATTATAATTTATTTATTGGACCTAGTATAGTGCATCGATATGAGTATAATTGTAAATAAATTTTATATGCATGTTGCATTAAATTATATTTGTGATAGTATCATTCGGCGGCAGAGTGTGTCGCGCGGAGGTAAATGTAGTGTAATTGTTGAATATATTATAATATGTATATAAAAAAATTTGTTATCTGTATAATGTGTGCTTCTCCTATCTGCGTATTTTATTCCAGGTGACAAGGTAAAAATTGTTAAAGTTAATGACTAAAGAAGACAATCCGTATAGAGGTTTAGTGTTTGAGGTATTAATTATTGTTTTTTGGAGAAGCAGAGGTGGTTAAGTCAGGATAGATGAGGATAATAATTTAGGAGCAAAAACTGGGGTGGAGAAGCAACTGAAAGGGTATAAAATAGAGTGGAGAGACTCAAGAAGTGAAGGAAGTGGGACGAGAGAAATAAGGGGAGGAATAATGCCGGTAAGAGAGAGGAAAGAGATGAGTAAGGTTGAGTGGAAGAAAAAAGGACAAGTGAGGTAATAGCAGGAGAAATAAAGATCGGAGGAAAGTAATACATGATAGCAACGGTGTACGAGTATATACGAGGGTCGTTTGAAAAGTCTGTGGAAAAATAAAAACTGCTTGATTTTTTTTAATAAATCTTTTTTATTTTTAAACCTAGACTCCTTTAGGCTTATACACTTAATCCAACGATGCTCTAGTTTGTTAATCCCTTCCAAATAATAGGATTTGTCCAAGTCTGTAAAATAGGCATTCGTTTCTGCAATAACCTCCTCGTTTGAATAAAATCTTTTCCCTGTCAGCCATTTTTTCATATTAGGGAACAAATAGTAGTCCGACGGAGCCAAATCTGGAGAATAGGGGAGATGTGAAACGAGTTGGAACCCTATCTCCATCAGTTTTGCGGCCACAACTGCTGAAGCGTGAGCTGGCGCATTGTCGTGGTGGAAGAGGACTTTTTTGTGGGCCAATCGTGGACGTTTCTCTAGCAACTCGGTTTTCAAACTATCCAATAACGATGAATAATATTCGCCTGTAATGGTTTTACTCTTTTCCAGGTAGTCGATGAAGATTATACTTTGCGAATCCCAAAAGACAGTCGCCATAACCTTCCCAGCCGAAGGAAATGTCTTCGCCTTTTTCGGAGCAGATACCCCTTGGTAACCCATTGTTTAGACTATTTTTTGGTCTCAGGAGTGTAGTGATGTATCCATGTTTTATATACAGTGATGAAACGACGCTTAAAGTCTTGCGGATTTTGCTCGAACAGCTGCAAACCATTTTTGCAACACTTCACACGATCTCGTTTTTGGTCAATCGTGAGCAATCGCGGCACCCATCTAGCGGATAGCTTTTTCATGTCCAAATGTTGGTGCAAAATATTATGTACCCGTTCGCTCGAAATGCCTACAGTACTAGCAATCTCACGCACCTTCACTCTTCTATCAGCAATCACCATATCATGGATTTTATCAATGATTTCTGATGAGGTAACCTCAACAAGGCGTCCAGAACGTCCAGCGTCTTTTGTGCTCATATGGCCACTCCGAAAATTTTGAAACCACTTATAAACCATTCTAATCGAAGGTGAACAATCACCATAATGTTTATCAAGCTTCTGTTTAATATCCTGAGGTGTTTTTTCTTTGAAAAAGTAATGTTTAATCAATACACGAAATTGTTTTTCGTCCATTTTTTTACAACCACTCGATTTCTTTGATTGAAACGAATGTAAAACGCTAAGTAATTGGCCGATCTGGCTAAAACTTGGTGTGTGCTCTTCCAAGATATGCCACTAACTGAAAATAACCTCAATATGCACTAGTAGCGCCATCTCGAAGAAATGTAATCTCTAAGAAATTTAGAGCAA